TCCCAGAAACGGTTCTGGAGGGGTGTTACTCCTGCCAGAACCTCGAGACTCATGTTATGCGTTGAATGCATACAGCCTAGAACAATACGCAGACAACGATATTGAATTCGTTCCAATTTTATTAGGTGACTTTTTCTTGCCGAGAGAAAGCAGAAAGAGCCGTACTCTAGAACAGAGCGAATAGTTGTTTTATAAAGCGTTATGAGGTCTCCCGGATGAGCACCCCACCATGTGCCGCAAATTGAACGGAGAAAGTTGATCCTCTGCTGACATTTTTGCTTCAAATACGTAATATGGGCATTCCAAGTGCACTTTGAATCAAACCAGACCCCAAGGTACTTGAAAGACAATGATTGGGTAATGTTTCTGCCCAAAAGCTTAGGCTGCGTTTGGCTGGGTACCGCTTTCGAGTAAACACACCCAGTTCAGTTTTTTTTTTGCGGCGAGAATTCGATCCCTAGATTCATAGCCCAAGAAGACAAGTTATCTAAGGAATTTTGCAAGGTCCTTGCAAGTCCACGGCATGTGGACCTCTTACGGAAACCACATCGTCATCTGCAAGTTGTCTTAGCGTGCATTGTTCTGCCAAACAGTTGTCGATATCTTTGACATAAAAGTTATAAAGAAGAGGGTTGAGACATGAGCCTTGGGGCAGGCCCATGTAACTTATTCTGGAAGTTGTCAGTTTTCCAAGAGAAAAGTTCATTTGCTTTTCTGACAACAAATTGTACAAGAAATTATTTAAAATTCCAGAAAGTCCACATCTGTGCAGATTGTCTGACAGGATTTTAATGGAAACTGAATCAAAAGCCCCCTTAATGTCCAAGAATACTGAAGCCAATTGCTCCTTGTGCGCAAAGGCCAGTTGAATATCTGTGGAAAGCAGCGCTAGACAATCGTTTGTTCCTTTGCTCTTGCGGAACCCAAACTGTGTATTTGATAGCAAGTTATTTAATTCGACCCAGTGATCGAGTCTCCGAAGGATCATTTTCTCCAACAATTTCCTAATGCACGAAAGCATAGCAATCGGACGGTATGAGTTATAGTCAGACGCTGATTTGCCAGGTTTTTTAATGGCTATTACTTTGACCTGTCTCCATTCAGGTGGTACAATGTTGTTTTCTAGCGAGGAATTGAATAAATCTAGCAAGCGTCTTTTAGCGATATCTGGGAGATTTTTCAGAAGATTGAATTTAATCATATCGCTTCCCGGTGAGGAGTTGTTCGATGAAAGAAGAGCCATAGAGAAATCCAGCATTGAGAATGGTCTATCCAGAGAGCCGCCGCTAGGAGACGCTTCTCGAAGAATATTTTGTGCTGGAACTGAGTCCGGAATCGAATATCCATCGGTTGGAGTATTCTTCACTCTCATTGAAAGATGAGCGGTTACGCATGTTGCGAGCCACCCTCCACAAGGTGTTCATTGAGGTTTCTCGTGAGAGTCCCTCGACGAAATTGCGCCAATAACCGCGTTTTTTTGCTTTGATTGATTGTTTCAGCTTTGTCTCAAGCTTTGAATATTCCTCGATGTAAGTGGAGGTTTTGTGTCTACGAAAAGCTTTGAAAGCATCAGATTTTTCTACGTACAATTTTGTGCATTCTTCGTCCCAACCAGGTGTGGCTGGTGACCTTTTGAAGGGTGCACTTGGAACTTTTCTTTTTTGTGCTTCCAGTGAGGTTTTGTAAATCAAATCGGCTAGGAATCGATATTCTTCCAATGGTGGAAGCGCATCTATTGATTCGACACCGATTGTCACCGCCGTTGCATATTTCTGCCAGTCGATGTTCCTTGTAAGATCAAATGGAAGCCGAGATGGTTCTGCAGAGTGAGGGCCACACTTTATTGAAATGATGATTGGCAAATGATCGCTACCAACGGCGCCGGTGGTGTAGTGGAAAGCGTGATTACCTCTCACCCCAGCAGGCCTGGGTTCAATACCAGTCGGCTCCGCCGGGCGGAAAAAACACCGAAAAAACTAGATGCCGCGCGACTGAGACTGGGACGTTGTTAACCGACTGAGTGTTCAACTAGGAATGAACTTGTCGTACGTTACCAACGTTGTTTCGTTGTCGACCGTGATGTACGATGGAATGGCGCTTTCGAGTCGCATTCGCAAAACTGGAACACCGCTCATGAATCCTGGGAAGTAGTGCTTCCATTTCTCATGTCGACTGGAAATCACTGTCCCGTACTTTGCCATGTGGTTCATAACAGTGGTTTGTGGCCATGCCAGAGGAAGATCATGCACTCGAACGGTCACTGCTTCACAATCCACATATACCGGGATTTTGAACTCTTTCTTTGCACAGAGAATCGCGTGTTGCGCCTTTTCATAGCTCAAGTCAACTTCATTGTCTATCATCTCAATAAAAACACAATTTCGGACGTTATGAAACTGAATGCATCTAACGTCCGAATATTGAAGCTTAATATTGTTCTCGAAGAATTTTTGCACTTTTCCCGCATTGGGACGAACTGGAAGGACACTGAAGTCAACAACAAGTGTGTTTTTACGAACTACACTCATTTTCGCTTCAATATTTCACCAAGTTAAGCAGAGCAGAAAGAGCACACGTCCGATGAATACGAGTAATGGCTGTCGAATGTGTTAAAGTTAAGTTGAAAATATTTTAAATTTATGTTAAAGGTAAGTTAAAGTTATGTTAAAGTGAACATTAAGTTAAAGTAAAGGTAAAGTTATGTTAAAGCAAAGATAAAGTTAAAGTTATGTTAAATTTTAGTTAAAGTTATGTTGAAGTTTAGTTTAAGTTAAATTAAAGTTATGTCAAACTTAAATTTATATAAAAGCTATGAAAAATAAGTTAAATTTTAGTTAAGTTAAAGTTTAAGTTATGTTTAAGTTATGTTAAAGTTATGTTAAAGTTATGTTAAAGTTGTGTTTAAGTTATGTTAAAGTTAAAGTTATGTTAAAGTTAAAGGTAAGTTAAAGTTAAGTTGTTGCAAATTTTAGATATGAAGTACATTATTTCGGACATGCCCTAGTTTGTCAATCAGTATCTGGCTATAATTCTGCCTCTGCTTTGGTAACTTCTGACCCAGATGGCAGATAACTACAACAAGGTGATCGTAAATTAAATAAAGGAGAATCCTTTTGTTAGTAATTCCGAAGTTTTGTGTAACTGTTTTGTTTTTCGTGTGGCTAGCTACCTATTGGCAATGCTGCTCAACTAAAACTGTTTGCTATTTTAAGGAGATGTAAGTGAAGACTGTACAGCTATGATTCTGAAAACCTTCGTAGAGTTTCTTTTTGTATCCCTATGGCCATGTAAAGACGGTATTTTCAGCACACAGATCGGTAAAAGTAGGTTTTATCTAGCATCTAATACGACAGGCACAACAAGAAACGGTTATGTGCTCAAGTTGTTAACGAAAGACAAAGTCGACGAAGAGAATCAATCAATGTTATTTAGGACCTAATGCAATATTCAGCTTGAGTTTAAGTGAAGTGAAATCGATCAGTTTACACTTCCTGACAGATACGCTCTGTATCGAAACTTTAACTTTTAGCTTAGTTGCTGTGCTTTTCGTGAGCAGCTGCTTGCGTTTACAAAGTAAACGTAAGCGAAAAAGATGAGATCCACAAAATTCGATGTCGGATCGTATCTGTTGATAGTTCCAGGCAAAGTGAAATTTTTGTCAATTACATTTTACACGCTGGTGAAAAATCGAGTTTTTTATATGTGATTTCAAGTTCGCTTCGATCTTTTTAATACTCTAACAACCGCCAAGCTCGCTGTAATGTCACCAAGTGCCTCGTCACCCACAAATTGGAACCTATGTCAGTGGTCTAATAACTCTTAGCGCGCATAATTCCCCTGCCGCATATAGAGTTGCCACAATGATATTAGGTTAGCTAAGGTCAGTTAACTGACTGGTGGGAAACGGGAGCTTAAGCAATTGCTATTATTATGCTAAACGTTTACATATAAAATATCCGAACAACGTTTAGTTCTAACATCCGAAAACACCCCTTACACATTTGGTTCTTATGTCAAAAGATTGAAATTCTTGACGTCAGAACGACATTAGAATAGTAACATTTTGTTCCAAAATTTCTGATGTATACACCATGTTACCTTGCTTAAATACAACTAAATTATAATGTTTTCTAATGTTTGACATCAGGAATACATTTTATTTCGATGCTGATGTAGACATCAAAATCCAACGTTGAGCTAATGTAAATTTTTATTCGGGGGGACTCTTATTAAACATCTACTCTGCCTATAATCCCATATCAGTCCCATATGTAAAAAGTAGGCATTGAGAAAATGGCAGTAGAAGTTAAGAAGTGCAATTTCCATGAAAATATTTAAAAAAAATCATAGTTAGCTTCTGGACTATATAATTTCAAGATGGGACTGATATGCGATTATTTTGCTTGATGGGACAAACTGACTTGATGTTGTTTTCACATTTTTCATGACTTTAGTCCGTAGTTTTATCTCGTAATATGTAAGTAGATGCCAATTGTTAGTGGAAAGCATTATTATCTTGCGTGAGAAGTGCTGATATTTGTCATTGTCATTGACAAATGTACGGTGATTAGGATCGTATTGAAATTATTTCACTCGTTAAATTACTCATCTAGAGTAGGAATGAAATATCTGTTGCATCTAAATTAAAAAAGATGTTGATATTATGGAAAATATAGGGAGTGTCCAATCTGCCCCGGGTGTTCATACTGCCCCTAGCTCCCCTTTAAGGGATAGCACTATTACTGTAACACCTATCCTAATATTTAAAGGAATTTGAGCTTTGATTTGAGCATGAACTACTGTTTGGAACAGTGTGGCTTGATTCGAGTCTTCAAGTATGATTACATGAATAAACGGGAACGATTAAAATACATTTAAAAGGTGTTTTAATTGCGCTGAAATTTATTTCTTGTAGAAAATAGCGGACTGCAAGAATTTTCATCTTCCATAATTTGTCCTACCCCAAACATAGATGTGCCTCTGTCCATTAATTAACTTACCAAATCTTTCTCACATTGCAATATGCTCTTTTCTCTTAAGAGAAGTTTAATCAGGTCGTCTTTTTGTTCCAAGGTTTTAGATAAATATGTTATCTTATTTATATTTTCGTTGTTTATACGATGCAATTCGCCTGTTTCATCGAATCGGTCAGTCTGGGATAGCGCATGGCATCTCGATGATTTTTTATCCATTTTTCAGCTTCAAATGTTCTTAACATTCAAACTCACTTCAAAACATTTAGATTTAGTAGATTAAATTTTATCTGAATTTGTTTTACCTCAATAGAACTTCTTCTTGTCTTCTATCGATATATATATATATATATATATATATATATATATATATATATATATATATATATATACAGACCTTTTTGACGTTCAATCATCTTTCTCTATCTAGCACACAAGAATGAATGGACGATTTGTTTTCCCACTAATCTGTTTCCCTCTTGGGGCCCATGCATTAATTATGTCACACTAAATCGAGCAAAAAATTACCCCCTCCCCCTCTATCGTGACGTTTTTCCTATACCTAATGCATTGCTTGTCACAAAATCCTAGACCCCCCCCCCCCTTAGAGCGTGACATAATATATGCATCAACTCTTGCTCGTACTCGTTCGCTTTAAATGGTACAGTAGTGTGCGCCGATTAAACGTCAAAAAGCTCAGCTTCTCTGACGTTTGGGAAATGCACAAGTATTAGTGCAGAACTTTGGGTAAATTATAAGTATTAGTGCAAGAAATCAGCATCTACAGTATACATCTCGGTATAGAGCTTTTTGACGTTTAATCGGCGCACACTACTGTACCATTTAAAGCGAACGAGTGCGAGCAAGAGGGAAACAGATTAGTGGGAAAACAAACCGTCCGTTCATCCATGTGTGCTAGATAGAGAAAGATGATGAAACGTCAAAAAGGTCTATAAATATATAATAGAGATTCCTCCACCTTCTTTTGCGCACACGCTATTTCAAAACAACCCAAATTTGGGTAGAATCCACCCAGATCAGTCAAAACTGAACCTACCCAAAATTGGGTAAACTGTGTTGGGAGCAACAAGTTGACAAACAGACAACATCGATATGAATCCGATCGACTTTGTTCATTTGTCAACTTGTCATTCTCAAAATAGTTAATCCATTTTTGAGTAGGTTCAGTTTTGACCGATCTGGGTAGATTCTACCAAAATTATGTAGTTTTGAAAAAGCGTGCAGCAGAAAAGCTATACACGCGATTTCAAAGCTTCTCAAATTTGGGTAAAATCCACCCAGGTCGGTCAAAACTGAATCTTCTTAGCTACGATTACCTTAAATTATCGGTAAAAAGTTATCGGTATTTTTTACTGATAAATATCATTACTTGTTATTTTAAATAGGCTATTTTTTACGATAAATTAGTTAATTTTTAACGTTAATTATTGGTAATCTATGATTACCGATAATTTTGATATGTGCACTTTCTTCGATTATCGGTAATTTCTACCGATATCTAGGTATTCTTTACCGACTTTAAGGTAGGTGCATCATAGCGTGAACCCAAAAATGAGTCAATTATGTTGGGAGCTCGTGTTGGGAGTGACAAGTTGAAAAATGGACAACATCGACCAATGAGTAAAATATGTCATAGGTTTGGGAGATTGTACGACTTTTCCCCGAAAACCAGTCCCCCGAAAACACTTTCCCCGAAAGTTATTGCCCCGAATGTAACTTTTCCCCGAAATACAATTCTCCGAAATACAATTCCCCGAATGGCACAGTTCCCAGAAAATAATTTCCCCGAATCTGCGCATCTTCGCTGGTTAACTACTTGTATCGAACAATACCACAATAAACATATTAATGTGCGTCGAATAAAGACAATAGTTTGACTTTCGTTAAAACAAAATGTAAAGGTCAAGCTCCTGAAATCGGTGTAATCCTATTTCAGCAGCTTTTGACCTTTCCATGTAGTTTTAACGAAAGTCAAACTTTTGTCTTTATTCAACACATATTGATTTCTTCGTGCTCCATACAATTTTAGATTCACCCTATAAGGAGTCGCCATGTGACTAATATGTATGGCATGGGACGCATGATATCTTTTCTTTGTTTGTATGGAGTTCTTTTTTTAGCGGTCGTACCTATCAAACAAACACACACATTGTATGCAATTAGCTCCATGGAACATACAATATTATACGTCAAAGAATGAACTATGATTCAAAGAAGGAATATTTCTTGCGACAAGCAAAATTTTCCCTTCTTTGTATCACAGCTCGTGCTTTAACGTTTTGAAGAATAAATATCTTACTAATTTATCAAAGCGATATCTCATTGTAATAAAATTGAAGATGATATCTCTTTGATAAAACCAATTAGATACCCTAATAAAAAATTACCATAAACGAACGATAACCCAAATGTGTGAACTATTCCTCAAATGGTTTGGATGATACCCAGAACACGTCGTTAAGTAAATTAACCATAACATTTTTTTTTTTCCTTCGGTTTGTTTTTTCCGTCGATCTTGTTTTCCGTGCTGAGCACCAAAGCTACCGACGTGCGAGGAAGGCAGCTCCCACACCTGGACCCTACCTATCGACTTATCAACTCATGAACCGGGGACCAACGGCTTTACTTCCCATCCGAAGGAAGGCGTGATCAGAGATGTATAACATTTTTATTAGGGTAGAAATTATGCGATACGTTAAGAAACGAGCTGTTGTAGGAAAATTTCTTGAAACAAACAACGATTTTTCTTCTTTGTATAAGGGGTGATATACAAATTATGTCACGCCCTAAGGAGGGAAGTGTAGAAATCTGTGATTGATTAATTTTGCCTCAATTTCGCGTGACATAATTAATGTATGGCCCCTAACGGCTCGTTTTTTTAATTTGATTACGATTAGATATCAGTTTTATAAATTAGTAAGATATTTATTCTTCAAAACGTTAAAGAACGAGCTGTGATACAAAGAAGGGAAAATTTTGTTTGTTGCAAGAATTTTTCCTTCTTTTTATCTTAGTTGATTATTTGACGCATAACTTGGTATGTTCCATGGAGCTAATTGCATACAATGTATGTGTGTGTGTGTGTGTTGGATAGGTACGAACGTTAAAAAACTCCATAATAATAAATAAAAGATACCATGCGTCCCCATGCAATACATGCTATAGTCACTTTGCGACTCCTTATAGGCTGAATCCAAAATTGTATGGAGCAAGAAGAAAACACCATACACCGATTTCAGAATATTCGGTAAAACATTACAGGAAATCTGTGAAAAATCACCAAACTGTTTACCGAACGTTCAGCTGTTGAGATTTTGGTAAAATTTCACAGATTTCGGTGAAATAATCTTAGTGTGTAACCTTTACATGTAGTTTTACGAAAGTCAAACTATTGTCTTAAGCGAACCCCACACGGTAAGAAATATTGTCAATACTTAAAAGTATTGACAATAATATTGATGATGTGAATACAGATATATTGTCAATACCGATGTATTGACGTCAATATAAAATGCATTGACAATACAATTATTGTCAATACAAACAGTCGTGTAGAGTCCACTTTAATTCGACACACATTGATTTGTGTATTGTGGTATTGTTCGATACAAGTAGTTAACCAGCGAAAGATTTGATGAAAATGACACAATTTTCCCTTCTTTATATCAAAGCTCAGTCTTTATGCTCATTACAATCAGATATCAATTTGATAAACCGCCAAATGTCATAACAAGTCATAACACAAGTCAAACTTTATCTAGGGTGTTGAACGACTTTGTTCTGTTTATCAATATTCAGCAAAGATATTTTTCTCAATTTCATATAGATAAGTTGTAACAAACCCAAGGATCATATTTAAATAGATCGCACAGTGTAAATTGTATCTTTCGGGGAACTAGTTCTTTCGGGGAAATAGTTTTCGGGAAAACGTTCCCTTCGGGGAACTGGTTCATTCGGGGAATCGTATTTCGGGGATAAAACTTTCGAGGAAAGTGTTTTCGGGGAAAAGTCGTACAATCGTTTGGGAAGTATAGATTCCGTAACGTCAAACTCCACTTTTTTCATGTCAATTTTTTAGGAGTTTTCGTTCACCGACTATTTACCTTTTTTTGCTACCAATAATACCAACACATACCCTTTTGTCTCACACCTGTATAGCTAATTGAACCAAGGGGGGAGGTGGCTGTCAAATACGAACAATCGTCGCCTACCTCGCATAACTGGTTCTAAACGTAAACAAACCATAAGAAACCTACAGGGTTTGTTTACGTTTGGAACCAATTTTATACAAGAATGATCAGTAGGCTGATTTAACCGCACGTCCACCCCAGAATTGAACATCGACAACTTCCAGGCCAGTGACAAGGCCTATATCAATAGCAGCGTTTGACAGTAAGCAGCATGTCCCGGGCTCAAATCAAACAAGGATGTTTAACTCATCCGGATTCCTCCAGCGGATCAATTTTGATGTAACTATTTTCAAAAATTGATCCGCTGGAGGAATCCGGCGTATTTAAGCATCCTTACTGCTGCAACAAGGATATTTAACTCATCCGGATTCCTCCAGCGGATCAATTTCGATGTAACTATTATCCAAAAATTGATCCACATTAAGCATCCTTAATGATGCAACGCATCAACAAGGAGTGTACCCCATTAGGCATAAATACGTTAGGCATACGGACGTTAGGCATACGGACGTTAGGCATACGGACGTTAGGCATACGGACGTTAGGCATAATGGACGTTAGGCATAAAGTCATTAGGCATAATGGACGTTAGGCATAATATACGCTAGGCATAAAATACCTTGCTGCTGTGCAACTCTAGAAACCTGCTTAACCTGTAAACCTGTAAACAATGCTTAAATTAGGCTTAGCGTTGAATAAAAAATGATACAAGTTAAACAAACATAGTTTATTTAATAAGCACAGTTTGGAATCCATTATTTATCATATCATAAGTGACGTATCTACATATTTACTTAGATCCATGATTAGTAGTGATAGTGGTTAAGTAATCTTACAATGAAAACTCAGCTTAGTTTTGAACTATATCTTGAAATCAATCGCATCTAGAAAAAAAAAAAATCACACATTTGTTGTAATATATTCTTACACACATATTGCAAAAGTCAAAGAAGAAAAGGTTTTCCTCAAAGAACAGCTCATGAAATAAAGAATGGTGAATTCTGTGATTTTTCATTCAATAACAAAAAAACAGCCAAGGTTGAATGAAATATGATGCCAAAGAACAGCTCATGAAATCAAGAATGGTTAATTCTGTGGT